GGAGGAGAAGGGAGGAGAAGGGAGGAGAGGGGAGGAGAGGCGCGGGTGAGGAGGGGGGAGAAAAAGGGGGGGGGGGGCTCGCTTTTTTACGGCAATATGACTGGTTTTTTAACCACCTTGCCTCGCTTTGTGTCAGAGGGGGGTCGCGTCTGGATCTCCCCTACCCTCGCTATTGACTTACCTAATGCAGTAATAATTCAATTAGTATTTCCGAGAAAGGAAAAGGCCCGAAAAACTGTCCCAATCCGACGGACACATGGCAAATGCTTTTAACAAATAAGAAACTTTTCATTTCTCGAGCTCATGAATAATTTATTATTTGTCGACAAAGATTCAAAACAGCTATTTGTTGCACAAAAATCATCCGTCTTCTTTTTTCTTCCAATAGCTCGTGGTTTCCTTTTCTTTTTTCTTCTTTTTATGCGTGTCATCCTTGAGTGCGCAGACGCCATGCTAATCACCCTTCTCTGTATCATTCCAATTTTAACGGATGTCCCGAGGGACAGGGCGTGGTTTCGGCGGCACTTTCCCCAGAGAAAAAAGAAAACAAATGATAGGCCAAAAACTATGCATCCTACCAAAAAAAAAAAAAATTATTAGAGTAACATGTTTCGGGCAAACAGAATATACCCTATGACGACTCGTAAGAGACATGATGAAGAACATACACATACAAACCCTTTCAAAAAAAAAAAAAAAAAAAAAAAGCAAACAGATACGCACGTACTGGACATAAAAAACGTTACACTGTCATTTCTCAACGTAAAAAAATGCATCATAAAAAAAAAAAAAAAAATAGCGTCATAGCTTTCTTCATCTTAAAAGGTGTGTACGCGTCTGCGTCGTGGTCTCATAATCATCTCATCACTCTTTCATTTCCTCATACCACCCACCACCAGCTCCGTTTGAGTATACGCGCGAGAGAGAGAGAGAGAGACAGCGACAGAGACAGCGACAGAGACAGAGACAGAGACAGACAGAGAGAACACCCACCGTCCCCTTCCCTACCCTATCTTATTCCTCTTTTTGACCTTGAATTGAAATCCTCCCCCCCTTCCCCCCCCCTCCGATATCGTTTTCCTTATCCACTTAATTTTGCTTCTACTCTGCGACACCTAGATGAAAGTGACAAGCAAACAAAATGGCATATAGCTCAGTTGGTTGGTACACCCCTGACCTGAACTGATGAAATACAGACCTGTGTTCGAAAACTCCACTGGGAGCAGATGATGAAAACACTACAACTCTGAATTACCTACGCCCTTTCATGATGATATCTTAACGCCGTAGGCCTTAAAAAAAAAAAAAAAAAAATGGCCAAATTGCTGCCGACACACGCCTCTTCGATAGATTAGGGGCATCGCCGCACCACTCACCAAATGCACAAACCCCGGCCTCAGTTCTTTTGTCTTGGAAATATAAGCCTTGGGCACTGGGCCCGATAGAAAAAAAAAAAAAAAAAAAAAATTGACGGTGCATCGTTCTATGTTCTACGGAAAGATTCATTCTCATTTTGCAAATTTGGTGAGTGGTGCGGCAAGGGCCTATAGTAGAAGCTCTCTTCATCTTTCATCTTCTACCCTACACCTAGCCGAAAAATATGCCATTTCGTTTCTGCTTTTTTTTTCTTTCCCTTTTCCTTCGCCTTTGAAAACGGCGATGGCTTGAGATATTACCGTCAACTGACCATTCCGATTCGAACACCTAGGTAATTCAGAATTTTCATCTTTTTTTTTTTTTTTTTTTTACCTAGGTAATTCAGAATTTTCATCATCATCGGTTCATTCCGATTCGCACACAATCTGTTTTTCAACAGTTGATGGATGTAATCCTCCTATTTCGTTTTATAATTCATTCACGGAGTCGCACAATCAAATAGTGTTTTTTTTTTTTTTTTTTTTTTTTTTGGACAATCAAATAGTAAGGTACATTTGTTTTACGATTTCTATCCCTATCGTTTTTTTATTTATTTTTATCCCTATCGTTCATCGTTATCCGCTTTCTTTGCAATCATTCACCTGCGTTGTCGTTTGCAAAGTGTAGCTAACTTCTTCCCCCGAATAGAACGCACGGTCAGTATGGCTGTATCTAGACTAAAATTTGTCCGAAATTCAGCTACAATCACCATGCACTCGATTCGGGGCTAAGTTGTACCTCTCTCTACACTCACAGAAGCATCGCCCTGTATCGCTCCGCAAAATTACGGTCTGTCCCAAATGAACATTACGGCAATTGCGTACACATACCGGCCAAATGAACCTTACCGCCATTGCGTACACATACCGGTCAAATGAACCTTACCGCGATTGCGTACACATACCGGTCAAATGAACCTTACCGCCATTNACCGGTCAAATGAACCTTACCGCCATTGCGTACACATACCGGTCAAATGAACCTTACCGCGATTGCGTACACATACCGGTCAAATGAACCTTACCTCCATTGCGTACGCATACCGGTCAAAAAAGTCCTACTGTGAGTACACACGTCTAATCTATCCACCTCCTTCATGCTGTAGTTGAGTGAACCAATACGCCTTTTCTATTCTTTCCCGCCTTCTACTCCTTTCCCACTTTCGATTCTATCCATCTCCCGTTTTTCCTGCCTGCCTTCTTGTCGTTCCCGCCTTCTTGTCTTTCCGCCTTCTCAATTCTATCGATCTGCCGTTCTTTTCTTTTCCCGCCTGCCTTCCATTCTTTCCCGCCTCGTCGTCGCTCCCGCCTTCTCAATTCTCTCGATCTGCCGTTCTTTTTTTTTTCCCGCCTGCCTTCCATTCTTTCCCGCCTTCTTGTCTTCCCGCCTTCTCAATTCTCTCGATCTGCCGGTTTTTTTTTTTCCCGCCTGCCTTCCATTCTTTCCCGCCTCGTCGTCGTTCCCGCCTTCTTGTCTTCCCGCCTTCTCAATTCTATCGATCTGCCGTTCTCCTTCCCGCCTGATGGCTTCTATTCTTTCCCGCCTTCTATTCTATCCACCTCGCGCTCCTCTTCCTGCCTGCTATCTCTCGATTCTTATTTTTTTTAAAAACAAAAAAAACTGTACGCTATTTAGGAGGCTGGACTTTTCCTATTCCCCCTACTCTAATATCCTCTATTTCTACGTAATTAGCTTCAAGTAATTTAATATTAGAGCTTAATATCAAATTAGTTTTTTACCATTAGCTTCAAGCATTACACTTGCTAAGATTTTTTATTTTTATTTTTTCCCGCTATTCTAGTACGATGGACTTTAGCTAGAATCCATATTGATCAACTTCTGTAGATCTTGGATGGAAGTTTTTATTTTTCTGACGACGTACACAGTTAAACACTGAATACAGGAATGGGAGGAAGCGCAGTAATTCATCAAAAATCAAATAGTTAGGTAATCGCTTGCTGGGAGGAAGAGCAGGAATTCGGAAAAAAAACAAATAAAATAATTGCTTGCATTAACTACTCATAACACAAATAAATAAATAAATAAATTATTAATTAAGTGTGATTGATTACATTCCTCGGTTGCCCTAACAGGAAAGGGGCAGGAGGTGGGGGAGCGAAATGGAAGACGGGAGAAAGTAAAAAACGACAAAAAAGAAAAAACACAAGGGTAGGGTTCAAAAAAAGGTCTTTTTTTCCCATCCATAAAAAACCGAAAAATAGGTTTTTTCGTCACAAATGAAAATGAAAAAAAAAGAAAAAGGGAGAGTTAAAATAAAAATAAAAATAAAAAAAACGCACAAGAGGAAAAGACACTAAAAGGGGAAAAAGACAAAAAATCGATAAGAACATATTTAACGTGCTTTTTCACGCTATCGATGAC